AGACTGATGAGCTTTGTAAAAATCGACGCGTTTCAGAAAGGCGGGGCATAGAGGAAAAACAATAATGTACAGTATGTGGAAAATAATGTGCTTTTTGAACCTTAAACCGCATAAACACATTTCATTACACGAAATACACAAAATAATGTTCTTTTTAGCAACATCATATGACCCCTTTAAGTATTGCTTTAAAAGGGTTGAGTGGATTCTGAGTGGATTCTCTACCGCTGTAAACAAAGCAGTGCTGTGCTAATAAACAATACTTCAGTATGCATTATAGAGAGCCAAGATCATTTAAACTTTTCTGAAGACAGTTCCCCTCAGAGATACATTCATATAAACCCCCACCCGAGGCAATATTAAGGATTTTCTTCCAATATTATGCTCATCGTGAACAGTGGGTTTGATCTGACTGCTACAGTATTCTCCTCTTTGCGTTCGTCTTCAGCGTCCCTGGCCTCTGTTAACGCCCCGGATACGGACTTCGTAATATTTCCACACAAATTACATTTTGGAAAATGCTTGCAATACAGTTTGTGTGCAAGTCCGGAACAGAAATCGTCTGAAAAAACAAAAGAACCGATTGCCGATCGTATGTTTGGAGCAAAAACAGACCGGTTCCGATTTATGGCCATTCAAACGTTTTCTACTACTAACATTATTCCGCTCGTGCTTGCCTAAAGGAAAACACAATAATGTTTTTAAAACAATCATTTTCCAGGACAACTACTCGATTGTCCAGGACATTTTACATTTTCTCTCATTTTCCATGTGTTCCATGTGCATCAATTTTCCAGGTTTTCCAGGACACGTGGGAAACCTGCATATACTGTGCATACTATGCAAATTTTCTGTTTGCATTTAATACCCATCTCGGAATAAAAAAATAACCATATGTTTCACTGAGGTAAAAGACTCCATTGACATAATTAAACTTAATGAGGTATGTGACAACAAGAATACTAAAATTGAACCGTTTATCATTGCATACTGCATACTGTATCACGTTGAAAACAACAACAAAAAATTTGGTCAGTATCCTGTTCTGTCAACTTCATGTTATGTATGCATTAAACACAATAATGTGAACAGGGATGGGCAGTATTTCAGATACATGTATTTAAAATACGTATTTGAAATACAAAATACTATTCTGTATTTAAAAGCCTGTGGAAAAAAATATTCAAATACATTTAAGATTAGTATTTTTGTATTTTCAAAATACATAAAATACTTTGTGCCAGTCAACCTTTTTATCAGGGTGCTGATTTCGTTCATCAACTGGTTCAGACACGCACCCTCCCCCCAACATTCATACATGTGAGCTGCTGTAACGCCCCTGTGGACTGTTTGTTGTGGTTTCTTCCCTTTGTGTTGGTTTAGCCCGTCTAATCATTAGTTAATCACCTCATTGTGCTCACCTGTCTGCACCTCGTTATCTGCACTATATCTGTTCATGTCTCTGGTATTTGAGTTGGTCGGTTATTGTGAATGTTACCCCGAGTGTGTGTGTCTCATCTACCCGAATCTGCCTTGTTGTCTCTACATTAAATATCCTTATTTGAATCCTTGTAGTCCTCGTCATCCTGCCTGTCATTATTGGAATCCTTGTCGTCCTCGTCATCCTGCCTGCCTCCACACACCCGTTTCCGTGACAGCTGCAGCTGTACAGCTCCATTCAGCATTGGGTGAGCAACTTTTCTGGAATAAAGAAGCATGAATGAATGAGCAATAGAATGTGATGTGCTTGGTGCAGAGAGAACGCCGACAAGTAGGCCTACACTTTTGACTTAAAAAATGAAAATTAGCCTATAAATTACTTACCCTCATACGTCATCCGCCCGGAGCTGCTTCTGTTTACAACAGTGAGCGCAAGCTACATTAAAGTGATTATTACGTTTTGAATATGGATATTTTTCTTACAAAAACACATCG